CACACACACACACACACACACACACACACACACACACACACACACACACACTCACACACTCACTCACTCACTCACTCACTCACTCACTCACTCACACATACACACACACTGACAGACATAAATGTGTGTGTGTGTCAAAGGATGATTTACCTCGCTTCATTTAATGGCTACCAAGGAGTCCTGTTAAGCGGATTACGAGTAGCAAAGGAACAGGAGAGGCAGCAGGGAGCAATACTAACCACCACCAGAAGAGGGAGAAAGGGAGACAGACGGAGAAGGAAGGAGGAAAGGAAAGAGGGGGAGAAAGTTTAGAAAAAAGGGAGAGAGAGAGAGAAGGAAAGATAGAGAGGGGAAGGAATGTATAAAAATTAGGTTGAGGAAAGGAAAGTGGGAAAGAAAGGAGGGGAAAGGAAAGAGAGAGAGAGAGAAACTGACCGACTTCTCTCATTCACCAATCATCTGCATATCTGTCGTTAATTATCAACGCGTGTGTCTGATGCACCATGCAAGCCACGCATGACCTCGACTCGTACACAGGGAGCATGACGCGAATGGCAGTCCTTATAAATAGCCGGCCCTTAATCGCCAGGGCATCACTCTTGTCAAGATGCAGCCACATCCACCACGCTCCTTTGCGCTGTTCCGGGATCTTTGTTTGCCGTGCATGCTAAATGAGGCCTCCCTGTAAACACATTTGGTTGACGGGATGGGCTGGGAGTTATGTTCAGGTATGTCTATGCATGAGTGAGTATATTTTATGTATTTGTGTTATGTTACTGTTATACATGCAAGTAGCTTGCAAGTGTGTGAGTGAGTGAGATAGGGTGTGTGTGTGTGTGTGTGAGAGAGAGAGAGAGAGAGAGAGAGAGAGAGAGAGAGAGAGGGGGGGGGGGTGAGAGAGGGAATGAGAATGAGAGCATAGATTACACAAACAACTTCCAGCCATTAGGTAACTCTTTAGCAATCCATCACCCAGATCTTAGTAAACTAGACGTGGTAAAAAGAATATTAGGAGCTCGGCGCAACCACCAAGAGAGCGGAATCCAACCGCAGATATTTCCTCACCGGGTCCGGCGAGGGTTGAACGTCCAAGCGAAACCTGCGGCGTCCGCGCCATGCATACTGGGACAAAGATAACGGGGTTGAGAGCACCGGAAAAGGTTACAGCTGTACCCTGGGAGTCCTCTCATAAGGAACTATTTTAGAAAGTGCCGGGGTGTGTATGTGCTGGGGATGTAAAAAAGCTTCAAAAATGAAGTTGATTACAGTTACAAATGTATATATAGACATTACACATACATACACGTTGTGTGTGTGTGTGCATAATTACTTATTGTGTTATGTTGTATTGTTTTTATTTATATTTATATGCACGTACCAAAACATCTAAATAAAGTAAATTTATAAACAAATATACCGTAGAACTAATAAGGAAAGATTCGCATAAATGAAACGTGGCGGAACATATAAACTTTTGATGCAAACACTGCTTACGTGTTACAATATCGTGAATGCGCTATTTTTTTAGGCCTAAGCTATATATGTCATCTCATGAGGAAGAGGGGGGCGTGGGCCGTGGGCCGTGGCTGCCCCGACGTCACCCACACAATAAGAGTCAGGTTTAGGTGTGAAAATAATGAGGTGAAGTTGAAATCAGGTCAGTAATTTTTTCAGGAAGGACCAATGCGGAACAGCTGGACAGGAATGAAATCAAAGGAAAGGAACCGAAACTGGCTAATAACATTTTTTTTATTCAATTATCGTTAGTGTTTGTTTTTACTATAATATGGTTGTTCCTGGTGATTATTACTATGGCTATAATTGTCTTGATTAGTGGTCTGATTTTTTCCAAAGTAGCTCAGATGGCCCTAGCTGAAATTCTTGTTATTTTTGTCTACCTCTTTGATGTTGCTGTAGTATTATCAACATTATTTCTATTATCGCAGAGTATCATGATTTTTTTAAATATTAAAAATATAAACAAGAATATTCTCATTAGGACTGGTAATAGGTAATAAGTTATTATGAATTTATCATAATTTACTAATGAGCATCACTTGCTCCAGGCTTAAGATGTAGAGAGAAAATAACCAAAGCACTTTTGCTACCCGACAACAGCAGCAACTAACACAAAAAACAAGAATGGTCAGCGATTGCATGCATCTACGCGCAATCGCCAAGTATTCTTGTTTTTATTCCTTGTCCTTCCTTGCCATTCTTCGATTTTAACTTCCTATTGTTTGCTTTGGGTGTTGTTTACTTCCCCAAAATCGAGTGCGTTATCCTCTTGGATGAATTGCCATCATAGGCTGATCACCATGATAATCATATTCACAATTCATAATCATTGCCTTTGATGTCCAGTGGCTGCACGTGACGGAAGAAATAAAGACAAAACATGTATAATATGCCTTCTGTGCAGCGACGGGATGGTCCGCAATCCCTTGCTTTGTGTTGAAAGTGACCCGAATGTAAGATATGCCATTTTCTCCCCCCACAGAGCGCCGAGTGTCACAATCCTGGCGCCTTCTTATAGTGGTCGATTGGCAGGTGAGTCCGCGTGTGTTTTCTATGGCTACGTGGTTAGACATGTGGGCTATTTGCATCTCGGTCTATGTCTGCCTATGTAGGTTTTCCTCCTTTTCCATAGATATGTATTTGTAGGGTCTGTAAATATATGCAACTAAATAAGAAGAACAGAAAGAGACGGAATCTGTATAGAGAGAAGGGAGACCACGCTTGCCTCCGCCTCAGCCGCCTTGCGAGCTTGCAACATCTAGTGTTTGTGTATTAATAGACGAAGCTTGACGTATTCAGAAGCATTGTGCAAAGCCGGGCTCGAAAGGGCACTCGCACAGCCTCGCGGGATGGCAAGACCTAGGCAGTCTTGCTTCTCGTAAACGTATGGATAAGGGCCCTACATGAGATTGTGTGGGTATATATATATATATATATATATATATATATATATATATATATATATGTATATATACATATATATTATATGGATATATATATACATATATATGGGTATATATATATATATATATATATATATAGGGCTCGGTCCTGTTGTATTTATCTGCTTATGACTCCCTTCACCCCTTCCTTATCTTCTCTCCATCACCACCGTCCCCCTCCCAATCCCTCCCTTCCCTCCTCCAACTTCTTTCTCATCTCTTTTTCTCCTCGACCCACCGTCTCCTGTCTTTCTCTTCCGTCCCTCTGTGTGTCTGTCATGTCCTTCCCCCGTCCCTCCTCTCCTCCCTATTCACTGCTCTCTATTTCCATTTCTCCAATCCTTTCCTCTTTCTCCCATCCCCGTTCTCTCCACTCCCGTCCAGACCCTACCCTCTCTGCCCCACGTACCTCCCTCCTTTCCCCGTCCCTCTCCATCCCTCCCTCCCTCCCTCTCTCCCTCTCTCTCTCCCTCCTCTCTCCCTCCCCCTTTTAAGACGCAGGGGCTCATTAGGGATAACAGGGAGATGCTTATTTGCATGTTGCACTCAAATAGCTCGTTGTGGACAGCGTTTTCCCTTTATTATTATTATTATTATTATTATTATTATTATTATTATTATCATCATTATGATTATCATGATCCTCATTTACATTTGCACCATTATTGTAATCATCGTTATAGGTTGCAGCCAGTGTGTTTCCGTAGGACTTTCGATCCAGAAGGTCAAACGCAATTAAACCAAGAAATCGAGGAAACAAAACGTGATAAATCGAAGGCGACCGAGGCGATTGCAGCACCACGAGGTTAGAAATCCGATATGGTCGCTTTGCTCTTCCGACAAGATACACATTCATGCTCTTGGATGTTGCTTAAGGGGATAAAAAAAACTCAGGTTGTTACCAAGCGGCGTTTGGAAAGGATGTTGGATACGTTGGGAGAGAGAGGGAGAGAGAAGGATATGAGATGGAATACGAGAAGCAGAGGGAGAGATGACGGTACTGGTGTTCTGCAAGGCTGCGTTCCGTCGCTGGACTTCTGACTCACGCATTTTTCGGCATCGCGTCATGCCGCGCGGAGTCCGCGCGCTGGATCACTGGGAAATGTAGTATACAAAAAAGGAAAAAGGTAGAATAATTGGGATAAAGAAAAAGAATGATGGCTGAGGAAGGAGGAAGAAAGTGATGGGGCGAAGGAAGCAGGACTGTTAACCAACATCGTAGCTAATACACGCCATTAATTATTGGCATTTGGTCGCACAATCCCAAAATAGACAGCATGTCTGCGAGAGGCACGCGTAGAAAACGGGAACTGCCGGGTTCAGTCGGACTCGGTGCCTGGAAGCTGCGAATGATTCAGTGGCTCCGGGTATCCGTGATCTATCTTGGGAACCAGTGACACGGGCCTATTAAGTGAAATCAGAGAACCACCTTATTATTAATCGAGAATTTAAATGCTTTTTTACATAGCCAAAGAGGAACCTGTGATTCAGATGTATGTCCGGCTTGAGGAGAACTTTTCAGACGCTCTTAGAATTTAGCGATGATTCAGTCGATCCCAAGACCCTCGCGATGGATGATGCTTCGGTGACTCACCTGGACTGGCGCTCGGGGACCTGCAAGGCGCCGTGTTCAAAGCCACAGATCGAAACGAGTGAAATCGTCTGTGTGCGCGTGTTCATATTCTTGCTTCTGTAGTATATGATTATATTATGTACTTATGTATGCGTATATGATTGTATATGAAGAGGTATTCGTGCCTCCATCGTTTTTCTATGTTTTGGGAAGTAAGAAGTCCCAGTTTCCGCGAATTGCTGGAGCCTAGTTTCACAACACTTTCTTCTCCGCCGGATGTTATGCACGTGGAGATGCTGACGTCAGCGATGAGTCATCGTTTTCCATGCTCTACCTGAGTGAGGGAGTGGAATAGCCTCCGAGACTCAGCACTTTCTGCCCCTCCCTCTTTCTCCCCATTGCCTGTGGTCATTTACAACAGGTAGTAGGATCGGGATAACCTTCGTCCAGGTAGGGGGTAGGGGCCATAGGGTACGAGAGATGGAGGGAGGGAGAAGGGAGGAGAGTTATGAGAGAGGGCGAGGGGAGGCCGACGGGGGAAAGGGGGGGAGGGAGGAGGGGAAGGGGGCGGCGAAGGAGAGGAGATAAGGGCGGAGGGGCGAGGGCGGAGGACTGTAGAGTACCCCGAGGCACGAGGTTCTCCTGGACAACAGGTTGGAAAAGAGGACAGGTGGCAGGGCGCGTTGGCCAAGCCTTGTAGACACATTGTATTTTGATGGAGATGCTTTTATTTATTTTTTTTTTTTTCACCTTCATAATCGTGGAGGTTTTGTTGATTATGTATAGGATATGGATTTTTATTTGTTTACGAATTTCTTTAAATTATGTGGGCGTGTCTATTTTTGTAGGCTTGTGCTTCAGTGTGTACGTATATAATTCTCTCTCTCTCTCTCTCTCTCTCTCTCTCTCTCTCTCTCTCTCTCTCTCTCTCTCTCTCTCTCTCTCTCTCTCTCTCTCTCTCTCTCTCTCATATATATATATATATATATATATATATATATGTATATATATTTGTGTGTGTGTGTGTGTGTGTGTGTGTGTGTGTGTGTGTGTGTGTGTGTGTGTGTGTGTGTGTGTGTGTGTGTGTGTGTGTGTGCATTTTACACACATGTATATACATATATGTATTTATATATACATACATACATATATACATACATATACACTTACATACATACATACATGCATGATATATATACACGCACAAACGCACGCGCGCACACACACACACACACACACACACACACACACACACACACACACACACACACACACACACACACACACACACACATTGTACATACATAAAAAGCAGACCTTGAGGATTGATTCCGGAGCCCCGCGTCGAAACCACAACCTGGCGATAAGGTCTGATGCGGTTAACGAGCGACCGTTCTCGTATTTTATCTCGTATTTTATCGTATTTGTTATTTTATTTATTTTATCTCGTATTTTAGATTTATGTTTAAAAAAATAGGACGTGCGTGCGCGTGTTTGCTTATGTTGCGCGTTTCATTTTAATGATCTGTACTTCCCCTTTATTTTAAATCCCGGAATTCTTTACCACAGAAAATAATCTGAAAGATCTTCTAAATAAAGTTTTTTGCGCGCGAGATAGAGGAAGAATGATAATGAAATTGGTAAGAGTAATGATGGCAAAAATAATGTAAATGATGATAATGATAATGGCAATAGTGAGGATGATGATAATAGTAATGATGAAGGTGATTATGATGATGCCTCTGATAAACATAATAAAAGCAGTGATAATAAATATGTTGACTGATTATTATAACGGCAATGATGAGAATGATAGTGATAATGAAAATAATGATGATAATGGCAGTGATCACAATTATGGTAAAGACAATGACAGCGATGATGATCATATTAGTGGTGCTACTAATGGCAATTGCAGTGATGTTAATGGTAATGATGATTATAATGAGAGATGAGTAGTAGTAATGGTGATGGCAATGATAATGATAATGACTGATTATAGTATCGGTGATATTCGTAGGAAATGCAGTTAAGTTAATAGAAATTGCAGTTATGATAATGATATCGATAACGATGATAGTGAAAATGACGAAGTTGACAAATTCTTTCCTTGTGTGAATTTGACAAACACACACTTATGCGGAACCACAAGTTCAAACTGTTGTACTTCCGGCATGACTGGTCCTTCCGCATGCCGTGGCGACCACAATTGTGATTGTTTTTGTACTTGTTCGTTCTACTTTTGTTTTTCTCTGTTGCTTATTACTTCCTCGCGCGTTCATTTCGTTTCGTCTTTTCCTCTTGTTTTCTCCCTCCCTTACGTTCCCCTTTCCTTCCCCCCCCTCCCTCTCTCTCTTTCTCTCCCCATCTCTCTCTCTTTCTCTTCCCCATCTCCATCCTCCCTCCCTCCTCTCTCCCTTCCCCCCTCCCTCCCTCTCCCTTCTCCCCCCCTTCCCTCCCTCTCCCTTCTCCCCCTCCCTTCCACCCCCTTCCCTTCCCCCTCCCTCCCTCCCCTCCCTTCCCTCCCTCTCCCTCCACCCCTTCCCTCCCTTTCCTTCCACCCCTTCCACCTTCCTTCCACCCCTTCCCTCCTCTCCCTTCCAACCCTTCCCTCCCCCTCCCTTCCAGCCCTCTCCCTCCCTCTCCCTTCCACCCCTTCCCTCCCTCTCCCTTCTCTCCCTCCCCGCCTCTCCATCCCAACTTTCTCCCTGACTCACAACCACTCAAGACGGCCACGTTACTCGCATGCCTCTTCCTTCTTCCTCTTAACTGTGCCGGCCTCGTGGTGTTCCCGGCGGTCAGTGTATTGCAAGCATTTCCTCAACCTGTGCTGCTTGACTGGCCTTCCTCCTTTAGACTTTCTCCTTGGCACGTTCGCTGTCGTTTTTTTTTTTTCTTTCTTTCTTTCCTTTTCTTTTTATGTTTTTTTGTATATCTTCCTGCGTGTTATCGTGTATATTTTTTATTGTTTTTTTTATGTATTTTTTTTTCTTTTGTGTATGTATGTGTGCGGTTGG